GTCCAGGCCCACGAGAACGGCAGAGACTCCAGGCTGCTCTGGGTGAACGCCAGGGACTCCCTCCTCTCCATCGGGTTCAATCAGGTATGTTGCCCAGCTCCAATTCAGTCAGTCATGGAATCACGGAATCGTAGAGCTGGAAGGGACCTCCTCCGGGGTCATCTAGTCCAACCCCCTGCACAATGCAGGAAATTCACAACTCCCCCCCCCCCGGACCCCCCAGTCACCACTGTTCCCTCGCAGCTCAGTGAGTGTGAGCCAGCTCACCGTTTTCTAGCCTCTGGCTCACACATTTTTGTCTCAGCTCAGGAAGGAGGGGGCTCCAGAGCAAACCAGTCGATGCAGGAGCCAAATCCTTTGCTCACAACTTTAAGGCCAGTAGCTCACAAAGTAGAGCTTTTTGCTCACAAGACTCCACAGCTTAGAGGGAGCGTTGCCAGTGACCCCTGCTCCATGCCCAGAAGAGGGCAAAAGGAAACCTCCAGGGTCCCTGCCCAAAGCGGCCTGGAGAAAATTGCTTCCTGACCCCAAAGTGGTGATTGGCATTTCCCTGTAAGAAAGGGCCACAAGGACCGAGGCGACCCTCCCTGCCCTCTCTCTCACGATCTGCCCAAGTCCACATCTAGCCTCTGCTTGAAAACCTCCCAGGAAGGAGAGCCCACCACCTCCTCCCAAGGAAGCCTGTTCCACTGAGCAACCGCTCTAGCCGTCAGGAAGTTCTTCCTCATGTTCAGCTGAAAACTCTTCGGATTTAATTTCAACCTGCTGGTTCTGGTCTGGCCTTCTGGGGCCTTCCTGCCTGTCTCTCCCTTGGGGACCTGAAGCGGCTTAGATGGTCCTCAGTTTATATTCACAATAATCCCATGAGGGAGGTTCAGCTGAGAGCATTGTGACTGGTCCAAGGTCACCCAGCGGGCTTCCATGCTAGAGAAGGATTCGAACCTGGGTCTCCCAGCTCCTATTCCAACACAGCTCTCCCCCGATTTGTGACAGGCCATGCTGAGTGGGGAGGGACGCGCCCTGCACAGTGGGCTTGGAGTGCGCAGCAGCGGGGTCAGTTTTGAGCAGTGAGACCTTTTCTTTCTCCGAAGTCTCTGCAGCAGAAGAACCATATTCAAGTCCAGTAGCACCTTAGGGACCAATACTGGTGGAATGAGCTCCCAGAGGACATCGTGGCCCCACAGGGCCTGCAAGACGGAACTCTTCCACCAGGCCTTCCATTAGGGAGCCACACCCAAAAAATCGTAGCCCTGGCCCAAGACTAACAACATTGTCAACAACCAGTTAACCCAGACTGTGCTGGTGGCTGGCTGTGGTCTGAGGATGACCTAAACTAGCACTTTGTATTTTATAATATTTATAATTGCATTGTTCTGTTTTTGTCTAATTCTGTTTTAATTGTTTTATATTGTACGTGAGCCGCCCTGAGCCTGCCTCATCAGGGAGGGCGGGATGGAAATTAAATGGATAAAATAAATAAAATAAACACGGTTCTTTTGTGGGCTTTCAAGAGCCCACGCTCCCTTCGTCAGACACAAATAGGAATGGAGAACCCCGAGTCTGTATACCCCAGTTCCCAGGGCCGGCTCGGGGTGTTTCTGGGCCCTAGGCGAGGTTGCCTTGTGGCGCAGATGCCAACCTCTCAGTGGGGCCTGAAGACCTTTGGAGCCAGCCACCTTTTTGCTACCACCGCCACCGCCTCCCCCCCCCCCCGCACCTGTCAACCCCACGGATCAGACCCAGCGAGCACTCCCCACATGTTCCTGCAGCGCCCTCCAAGATGGAAGAGAGATTTCTCTCGTGCTCCGCTTCTGAAGGCAGTTTGGGAGGGAGGTGGGGGGGGGGATCCTGTCTCCATGCGGGGGATGCTCACCGGATGCCTCTCCTCAATTAGCGAAGTGCTGACACTTGGAGAGCTGCTCGCGGGCTTTTGGCGGGGGGGGGCACAGCTCGGCACCCCGTCCAGGGCCCAGCACTCTAGGCAAATGCCTAGTTCGCCTAGTGGGTGAGCCGGCCCTGCCAGTTCCCCTCCCACCTTCTGGCTTGGGAGAGGAAGAGCCGGGGGTCTCCATTTCTACTCGTATCCTGATGAAGATAACCGGGACTCCCGAAACCCCCCACCCCAGAGAACCTTGCTGATCCCTGAGGCTCGGCTGGACTCGGGTTCCGGCTTTTCTTTCTCCAACGCTCTTTAGCGGCTCCTCCATGTCGGGAGCCCTTGAGGAACACAGCCGAGGCCCTGACCGCTTCTCCTCTTCTTGCAGGTGAGGGAACGGGAGGTGCGGCTCTGGGACATGCGGGCGTTCCGTGGTTCCGTGGCTTCCGTCACCCTGGACGCATCCCCCAGGTAGGAGGATCCCGGATGGCACCGTGGGGGGGGGGGAGCAGGACTTCACGGTGCGCCTCAGCCACTCTTGGGGCTGTACGGGAGAGGGAGGGAGAGAGGAGAGAAGGGGTGTTTGGGCCTGCCGGGCTGTCTGTCGTGGGACTTGCCCTCTTTGGGCGTGTGCGTGTTGGTGTGTCTGTGAGGGAGGAGGAGAGAGCGGTTTGTCCCTTGGTTGGTTTCTGCTGTGCTGGTCTAGTGGCCGCTGGGGCCCTCGGACTGACCCTCTCCCCCGGCTGGAGCAAGGCCAGGGGAAAGGGTGGGGTCGTGTGACCCAATGCTCCCTCTAAGCTGTGGAGTCCTGTGAGCAGAAATCCTGCTCTGTGAGCTACCGGCATTGAAGTTGTGAGCGAGCGATTGGCCTCCGGCATAAATTATGTTGCTCTGGAGCCCTCCTGCCTGAGCTAAGACAAAATCGTGTGAGCCGGAGGCTAAAGAACTGTGAGCTAGCCCACACTAACTCAGCTTAGAGGGAACACAGGTCGTGTGTCCTCGTGTCCTGTTCAGCCCGTGGCTGAGTCCAGCCCTGGCAGAATTCCCCCGGGTCTTTCTCTGCGGCTTGTGGGGACGCCCGGGGCCATAGCCCAAGTGCCTGCCTTTCCTTCTGAGGTGTGTTTGGGGGACCAGCAAGGAGGGGGACCGGCCGGCCCCCCCGCTCTGGGTCATTCTGCATGAAAAACGGGCAGGCGAGAGCCCCACGAGACCGGCCCCTGGCTGACCCCACTGGGCAAGCGTTTGTCCCCTCTTTCTAGCCAGGCGTGGGCCACAAATGCCTCTCTCTGGATAAGCCCTCTACTAAGGGGAGGGGCAGCATTCCATGCGCCTCGGTGTTTAGTCATGCCGGCCACATGACCACGGAAATGTCTTCGGACAGTGCTGGCTCTTCGGCTTTGAAACAGTGATGAGCACCGCAACCCTAGAGTCGGACTCAACTGGCTTTCGAGCAAGGGAACCTTTACCTTTACTTTAAGGGGAGGGGGCTGAGGAAGCAGAACCCTCCCGCCATAACCCTTTCCTGATCGCAGCCTGTCCGTGCAGTTGCCAGGAGGGAGGGCTCTGGGCTGGATTGGGGCTGGCTCCCCTCCTCCCTCCCTCCCTCCCCCCCTGGCAGAGCAAAAGAGTAAATTGATTCCAGGCCCCAGGCTTATTTTGGCTGCTGCGGGGCCCTTATCTGAGTGCTGGAGGACGTTCTTATCTGCCTGTCACTCTGGGGTCTTTGCAAGGTTGCCTTCGGGTCAGAGCTGGGCTCGATAAACCGCTGGAGGGAGGGAGACTGGGAAGGGCAGGAGGGCAGGCCAGGGCAGGGGCGGCTGGGGGTGTGTGCCAGCGAGAGCACCGGCCTCCCTCCAGGAAGAGAGTGTGTGTGTGGGGGGGTACCCCTGCCACTCTGCAGGAGAACAGCTAGGTTCGTGTCCAGTGGAGGGCCCCCCGCCCCAATCTCGTTGGTGTCTTAAGGTGCTCCTGGATTCAAATTCAGCATCCCTCCAGGCAGAGGTGTTGCTCTGAATCCATACACAGGCAGCTCCCGGTGTGTCCGTGGCCCTGTGAAACGTGCCCTTGGCCAAGATGGACTGGTGGCCATGGGGCATGAATGCTGTTTGATTCCCCACTCCGCCACTCGCAGCTGCTGGATGACCTTGGCCAAGCCACAGTTCTGGCAGAGCTGTTCTCTCAAGGGCAGTC